GTCCCTGCATTGCACCCCTCCCCCCTCTCTACAGCATGCTCCTGCCCCGAGCACCTCTCCTCACTCCAGAGAGGCTGAGGTTTAACCCCAAAGGCACCATCCTTGTCCCCCCACCCAGTGACCCCCTCTCCCCCCGTCGGCCTGCAGCACCTGGACCTGCTGGTGCGGGACTGGACCAGCTCCCAGCTCCTTGGATTCCGGGGTGGGGAGCAGCATCTGGGAGACGTCTGGCAGGTGAGAGGGCGGAGGAACGGGGCACGAGGCCTGTCCCCTCTGGGGGGTGCTGGCTTCCATCTGGCCCCAGGGCAGGGTACTCTAGGGGCTGAAGCTCCACCCTCTAGAAACGTTGCCTGTAACTTTGCCAAACTTGACCTCTGGGGCTGCCATTTCCCATGCGTGTTCTCTGCCGCCGGCTGGATTCTGCCCCCCGCCGTGGCTGGGAATGAGGCTGCAGGAAACGCGCTGCTTGGGAACACAGCAAGGAAACTCCGAGGGTCATAGACTCATAGAACCACAGAGCTGGCAGGGACCTCCAGGGTCATCGAGTCCAGCCCCCTGCCCTCCCGGCAGGACCCAGCACTGTCTAGAGCATCCCTGACAGGCGTGTGTCCAACCGGCTCTGAAATATCTCCAGGGATGGAGACTCCACAACCTCCCTGGGCAATTTATTCCAGTGTTTGACCACCCTGACAGTTAGGAATTTTTTCCTAATGTCCAACCTAAACCTCCCTTGCTGCAGTTTAAGCCCATTGCTTCTTGTCCTGTCCTCAGAGGCCAAGGGGAACAAGTTTTCTCCCTTTTAACAGCCTTTTACATACTTGAAAACGTCTATCATGTCATGACTCATGGCTGTCCCTTTCTCTTCCTGCCACCCCCGCCTCGGCCACGGCTCTCCCCAGCATGTGGGCCAGGCGAGGCCGGGCTGGGGCCTCTCCCTGTCCCCTGGGGCTGGCTGGAGCCACCCAGGGCGAGTGTCTCTCTAACCGATCTCCCGGCTCCGGCAGGGGCTGGCGGCGACGTCCCCCTGCAAACACCCCAAGGCCCTGGACGTGTTGGGTGGAAAGAGGGGTGTGGGTTGAAGGCGCCAGCTGCTGTTACCTGATGCCCTTCCCGGGCAAGCGGGTCGCGACTGGCAGTGTGGGAGCCCTGCGAGGTAACGGGCCGGGAGAGCAGCTCTGAGCCCCCTGCCGTGGACAGGGCCATGCGACTCGGTCGCTGCTTGTGTTTGTATGTAGGAAGGGGGCCAAACAGGCCCCACAGCCCCCTTATCGCCCGTCTCCCCTGGCAGACATGGACGAGGATTTCCGGGAGAGCCTGAGGAACTACGTCACTGCCCTGGTGGGCTCGGCCGGGAGACACG